GTTCACATATGTGGGTTAAAGTTTAACATAGAGCAAAAAATTAGATATCTCAATTATTTATTTATTTATTTATTAATGACTCTAAAACTCAATGAAAATTACTTAATCACGTTCTTATTATTTTCAAAAAATTGAGTTCCTTGGGATAAAATTTTCAAAATTTTCTCAAAATAAGGGCACAGAAAATTACTTGAGAGTAAGTAATGAGATAAGTAATAATAGAACCCCCCCCCCCATACTTAAACATAACATTGTCCTCAATGTTTAGAGAGAAAAAAATAAAAAAAAGAAGTAAGGATAAAGAGGACAAGAGAAATAAAGAGAAAGTGACTCCCTAAATGTGAGACAAATTACGCAAAAAAGCCACCATGTTCTGAAAAACAAGAACACAAAATAAATAAAAGGAAATAATAAAACATAGGTTACCTTCTGTAAGTGCTTGTTTTACGTCACGAGCCTAACATCCTGTTGGGCTATTGTAAGAATATAGCCTATTAAGTGGAGGTCACTCCATCCGTGTATAACTTGACTCTTTGACCATTGACTTGAAACGTCTCTCCCCCAACTTTAGAAACTTCTAAAACCCATTACGGAAGGACCTTGAGTACTGTATAAGGGTCAATCCACTTAGAATTTAGTTTTCTAAGGAATAACTGCAGTCATGAGTTGTAGATCAACACTTTTTCTCCTTTATAGAACTTGCGATGTAAGATATGCTTGTCGTGCCACTTCTTAGTGCGCTCCTTGTATAGCTTGGCATTCTCGTATGTCGTAAGTGCATCTCATCCAGTTCATTAAGCTCCAATAATCTTTTCTCACCTGCAAGCTGCAAAGGAACTTTAAGGCCTAATAGGCCCTATGTTCTAATTCAATAGGTAAGTGACAAGCTTTTCTGAAAACCAAATGATAAGGAGACATGCCAATAGGAGTTTTAAAGACAGTATGATAAGCCCAAAGTGCATCATCTAATTTTATAGACCAATCTTTTCTAAAACTATTAACTATGCGCTCCAAAATCTTTTTCAACTCCCTATTAGATATCTCAACTTATCCACTGGTTTGGGGGTGGTAGGGAGTAGCGACCTTATGGGTAATACTGTATTTTTCCAAGAGATTATCAAAAAGTTTATTACAAAAATGAGTACCCCCATCACTGATAATTGTCCTAGGAGTTCCAAACTGAGAAAAAATATTTTTCTTAAGAAATTTAGTAATCACCGTAGCATCATTAGTTAGTAAAGCAGCCGCTTCCACCCACCTTGAGACATAATCCACAACAACTAATATATATTCATTATTAAAAGACTTAGGAAAAAGTCCCATAAAATTAATACCCCAAACATCAAATATTTCACAAACTAAAATATTGTTGAGGGGCATATCATGCCTTCTAGAAATATTACCACTCCTCTAACATTTATCACATGATTTAACAAAACCATAAGCATCTTTAAAAAGTGTTGGACAATAAAAACCACTTTGCAAAACCTTTATGAGTAGTTTTAGTGGAGCCAAAGTGGCTTCCCACTTCTCTAGAATGACAATGCTCAAGAACTGCTATAAATTCACTCTCACGAACACATCTCCTAATCAAAATATCCCCACAAACTTTAAATAAATAGGGTTCTTCCGACAAATAGTATTTAATATCAGATAAAATTTCCTCTTTTGTGAGGATAAAAGTCTGTGGGGAAATATTTTATCAACCAAGAAGTTTACCAAATCTATATACCAAGGTGCAGCAGAAATAGAAAAAATCCTCTTATAAGGGAATGTCTCTTTAATTTCTACCTTAGTGCTTTCTCTCACCGAGGGTTCTAATCTAGATAAGTGATTAACAATAGAGTTCTCACTCCCCTTTTTATCTTGGATCTCTACATCAAACTCTTGTAGCAAGAGAATCCATCGAATAATCCTTGGCTTAGCATCCTGTTTAGCCATCAAATATCTAAGAGCAGAATGGTCAGTATAAACAATAACTTTAGACATAATCAAATAAAGGCAAAATTTATCAAATGCAAATATCACAGCTAGCATCTCTTTCTTAGTAGTGTTATAGTTTCATTGTGTTCCATCCAAATTTCTACTCGCATAATAAATGGCTTGAAAAATCTTGTCCTTCCTTTGGCCCATAATTGTTCCAACAGTTGTATCACTAGCATCACACATAAGCTTAAAGGGTAAAGACCAATAAGGAGAAATAACCACAGGGGCATCAATTAACTTACTCATAAGGGTATTAAAAGCATATAAATAAGCATCATCAAATTTAAACAATATACCATTAGCCAACAAATCAGAAAGATGTTTTGCTATTTTAAAAAAATCTTTAATAAACCTCCTATAAAACCTTGTATGCCTTAAGAAACTCCTAACAGATTTAGCACATGTGGAAGGGAAAAGTTTAGCAATAACTTCTACCTTAGTAAGGTCTACCTCTATACCCCTATTAGAAACTTTATACCCCAAAACAATGCATTCATCAACCATAAACTTTTTTCCTAATTTAAAACCAAATTAGCCTTTTACATCTTTGTAAAATCAAATCAAGGCTATGCAAACAATTATCAAAAGTGTTGCCATAAACAGAAAAATCATTCATAAAAATTTTAATGTAATTTTCTAATAAATCAAAAAATAAGACTATCATGCATCTCTGAAATGTAGCGGGGGCATTATACAAACCAAATGACATCTATTTATATGCAAAAGTACCATAAGGGCATGTAAAAGTAGTCTTCTCTTAGTCTTCTAATAAGACAGGTATTTGCATGTAACCATCTAAACAACATCTGATCAATAAAGGGAAGGGGAAAGTGGTCTTTCCGGGTGGCCTCATTGAGCTTCCTATAGTCTATGCACATTCGCCACCCAGTTACTTTTCTTATAGCAATAAGTTCCTGTTGCTCATTCTCCATAACTGTGGTCCCTCCTTTCTTTAGTACGACCTCCTTTTTTACTACTTCCTTTAGACTGGGATTAAGTCTCCTTTAAGGTTGAACCTTGGGTTTGAATTAATTCCTCCTCTAATTGAATTTTAATGGGTGCAAATGGAAGGGTTAAGACCCTTGATGTCATGAATGCTCCACCCAAAGGCCTCTTTGTTCTCCCTCAAGACTCTCATCAATTTTTCCTCCATAATATCTGTCAATTTAGAAGAAATTATTACAGGAAGAGAAGAGGGAGGAGATAGAAAAGCATATTTAAGATTAGAAGGAAGAGATTTGAGCTCTAATTCAGGGGGTTCTTCAATGGATGATTTAGGAATTCAAATATCCCGTGCTCCCAAGCTTTCAAAATGCCTAAGCGCTAACCATCGACTTCGATTCACGCTCTCCAAAGCCAAAATTTCATCTATTACTTCCTTTATTTCTATTAGAGCATATTTTTCAAGTGTGAGAATTTTTTCTAGAGTATCATCTCTCAACCTATCAATTAATTGTACAGAGTCTAAAGAGGAAAAAATAATCATTTACAGAAATAAAATTACAAGAATAAAAACTAGAAAGATGTTTAAGAGAATCAAAAACTTTAAAAGTAACTTCTTCATTGTTTAGCCTCAATGTGAGCTTCTCTTGCTGGATGTCTATAATGGTCTTTCCTGTGGCTAAGAATGGTCTTCCCAGAATAATGGGAACCTCATTATCTTCCTCCATGTCTAGTACAATAAAATCTGTAGAGAAGATGAATTTGTCTACCTTTAACAAGATGTCTTCTATTATACCTCTTGGGTAAGTGATGGATCTAACAGCTAACTGCAAAGAAACAGAGGTAGGTTTAGGTTCTTGCATACCTAACCTTTTAAAAACAGATAAAGGTATTAGATTTATGCTAGCTCCTAAATCACATAGGACTTTATAAAAATGAGAACTACCTATAGTACAAGGAATAGTAAAACTCTCTAGGTCTTTAAGTTTTGGGAGTAACTTTTTCAAAAGGATTACGGAACATTCCTTATTAAGCTTTACAGTTTCAAATTCTTTTAACCTCCTTTTATTACTTAATATTTCCTTGAGAAACTTAGCGTATTTGGGCATTTGAGAGATGACCTCCATAAAGAGTATGTTGATGTGCAACTTCTTTAAAATTTCAACGAATTTGTTGAACTGTGGATCCTTCTGATTGCTTCTCAACCTCTACGGAAAATGGATTCGAAGTTCTTGAGGCCTAGACATTGTTGATGGTGCTTTTTTCTTTTCTTGTTCTGTTTCTGCGACTTCAGCGTAGCCATGCATATGAGGGAGCACGGGCGTGCATACAATGGTATTCTACAACTTTGGCACGTTTTCGAGCAACGTCTTCCCGTTTCTTAATGTAATTGCCTTGACATGTTCTTTAGGGTTAGGCTCAGCTGGGAGGGAACGTCCCTAGCACTCTTTGAGTCAACAAATTTGCAAGTTGTCCCAATTGTGATTTTATCTCGAATGTATCCGAGCTTATTTCTGAAAACTTTTTGTCCATTGTTTGGGCTTGTTGCTCTATCTGAAGACTTTGTTGTTCCATCTGGGACTTAATCTTTGAAATTCACTACTTTAATTGAAAGGTTGAGGGCTTTCTCCTTTCTATCCTTACCCCCTGAGTGAGGAGGGCGATAAACATTTGAATTTTGACCTCCTTGGCTATTCTCCTATGAGTTCATGGGTTTGCTATGCCATCCCAAATTGTAACTGTTGTCCAAGAAGTTGTCCTTCTTAGTCTCTGGAGGTTTTGCTGATGGATCTTGTGCCCTTACTAAGAATTATATTTGCTTTGATAGAGTTTCCAACTTATTTGTTATTGAATCGCTACTTTCTACTTGGTAGATTGAAACGACTTCCTTCTTTTTGTTTCTATGATGGTCTGTGTGCTATTGGAAATTACTAGATGCTATCTTTTCTATCAATGTATGGGCTGCAGTTGGCCCCTTGCATAGGAAGGATCCTCTAGCAGTTGCATCAATTGTAGCTCTATTAGAAGATGAGAGTCCAACATAGAAAATCTGCATTTACTTCCATACAGAGAAATTATGATGTGGACATCTCCTTAGGAGTTCTCCAAAGCGCTCATACGTCTCAAACAAAGATTTAGACTCATATTATTGAAAATTGGAGATCTCTATCATCAGTTTCACAGAGAGTGATGATAGAAAATATTTGGCTAAGAATTATTGTGTTAGGCCATCTCACGTTGTAATTGAATTAGATAGAAGTGTGGAGCACCATGCGTTCACTCTTTCTGTGATAGAGAATAGAAAGAGATGAAGCCTTATAGCATATTTGGTGACACCATTGTATTTGATGGTATCAGTGAGTTGAAGAAACTTTTTCAGATGAAGGTGAGAATCTTCGTCAAGTCGCTCCGAAAATAGTGTGGAGTTCTGGACTAGATTAATCAAGGCCAGCTTTAATTCAAAATTATTGGCCTCTATGTCAGGTGCTACAATGCTCCTGACATTACCCTCAGCAGTGAGTGTCATGTACTCCAAGATTGCTCGTTCTTCTGTTATCTTTTTGTTTTCGCTACACTCTTTCCTTAGCCTAGTGCGGTCTTCTCAATTTTTGGATCAAAAGTGAGTTCTACAATAGGTTTAGAACGAGTGAGTATAAAACAAAAAAAAAATATTTAAATCAACCAAATACTTAATTTTCTTTGATATTGAAAACTAATCTTCGACAATGACGTCAAAAACTTGTTTGTAGGCAAGTGTACCTATCAAAAAATAACAAAGAGTTTTTGAATTAAGAGTTCTCAAGTTATCGTCCCACAAAGATTATTTTCAAGTACAAAAAATAACTTGATTTGATTGTTTAAACGTAATGGGATTGTAACGGATTAAAAATAGAGGTTAATTTTAATAATAAATTAAAAGAACAGTAATATAATATATGAGAGAGATCAGATGAGATAAGCTTAGGACACTTCTTTGTGTTCTAATTAATTTAATACTGATATTGGTATCCAAATATTTGTCAACCACTCATAGTTAGTTCTATTAATACCCAATGATTATCCAATGTCAATATTTTTTTCCCTGAGCAAATACTCTCAATGATCATGCAAGGTAATTGATCACGAAAACATGAAGATCCTATGAGTTTGTTAATTCAATAACGGCTGAAAGGAAGGAATTAAGTGTGATTAACCTAGCCCTTATCTCATTTTATCCTACAATTCTGTTAATTATACGTGGTACGATCGCCTACAATGCAACTAACTATGGAATGCTAAGGGTGGTCAAATCTTAACATACACAATATAATCCAATAGAATAAAAACCAAACATTAAAGGAAAACTAATATCAACATTAAAGTAAAAATCACACAAAGTTTGCAATAGGATCCGCCAAAGCCTTAGCTATAAGTTTAGTTACTCATAACAAAATAAACTGCGAAGAACGTGATAAATAAACCCATAACTACAAAGAAAAACTCAAATAAAAGAAACTCATAAAGATAAAAGATGAGGAGAGTTCTCGTTCTCCGAAATACGCTCAATCATTTGCTTAGACTCTAAGAAGAAGCTCGTTGTCCTTGCCAATTGTCTCCAATGATTCTCAAAGATTAGTTTGGTTAGAACTAAGAAGAGGAAGAAGGTGTGTAGAGAAGTCAAAGTGTGTCAAGTGTGGAGCATAAGGCCTCTTTATATAGGTTGTAGCCTGAGTTTTCAGTTGGTTGAGCTCTATTTTTTTAAATTAATTTTATCCACAATTTGAATCGCTCCAAATCTTCATAACAAAGTTTAAATTTTAAATTCAAAATTTAAACTCAACTTCACATAGCACTACCAAGAACTAAAAATATCTAATTTTTATCCAGAATATCTCCATAATACACTAATAACAACTTCCAGCTAAACTCCAATAATTAATAGCATAATTAGTGTAAATATATATATAAAATAAAATTTAAGTGTATAAATATAAGTCATAAAATATATCAAAATATGAACTTATAATAATCAAAATATTACATTATTATTTCATGAATGTTATCAATAATTATCAATATAATAATAGTGTATATAATCTTTTGACCTAGAGTTAAGAAGCCACTACAATTTCTACATGAGAATTTATATTTTAATATTATCGTCAATTATAATAAGATAATCACAAAGTTAAAGTTTGAATATAGAATAAATAATGTAAAAAAATATTAGTAATTTAAAATAATCTAAATAGAGTTTGACTATGAAATGCATCACTATACTTAATGTGATAGATATAAAGTATTTATTTTAGAAAAATCATCTTAGGTATTAAGAAAATTAAACTGTACTTCATAATGTAACATACTTCATGATTTATGTTAAATTAGATACATGAACGAAAAGATTAATCATATAGTACATATATTATCACATACATATGTTACATTAGTTTAAAATCATTCTTAACATTTAGGCTGATGTATTTTCATATGTTACTCACTATATAAATAATTTATATTTAATATCATAATTTAATATTAGAAGAAAATATAAGATTTTACACAAAGAATAATAGAATAATGTGAACATTCAATTTTGTCCGTTTAAAATAATTAATTTAATCAATGTAAATAAACTTTTGATAATAACATAAAAGTTACAATAATTAACATATTAAAATAAAATATATAAAATAATAGAAATAAAAGTGTATTTTAATATAAATAATTTATAATAGAATGCATATATTTTTTATAACAAATTTTAAATTTAAAATAAGCTAACAAATAAAACAAAAGGCTAAAAAAAATGAAAAAAATGAAAAAGGGTTATGGGCTGGGAGGAATGTAGAGATAAACTCGAGAAGAGCATTTGTCATTTTTTTTTTCTCGCCTGTGAGGAAAAATAGAATAGGAGAACTCATCCATCAAAGGCAGATTCTGAGTTGGTTAGCCTTACTTCTTCTTTTCTCTTTACTTACCTTTACCTTTGGTGGGTTGTGTTATCCTTCATTGAATAGCTATAGCCCAATGTTTAACAGGTATCCATCCCACGAACAATAAATCCTTTGGCACATTCAAGATTCAACTCCAGTTACGACTTCCCCTCGGCCGGGCATCTTCCCTCTTGCTTTGCTTGAGTTTCTCACTATGGACCGATTGCTATCGCTTAACTCGGAACTCCCTTAGTGCTTCACTTTCTTTAGTAGTAGACTAATCGAGAGGTCTATGAAATGCTATATGGATAGGGTGATTCTTTATTCATGTAATTCCTGCCAAGAAAGGAAAGGGAAGAAAAAGGCTCTCCAAGCATGCATATGCTGAAAGACGCAATCATATAATTTTGGCCGAGTATAGTCATTTTTTCCTTGTGGATGTTGATTATTATTTCGTAATTTTCTTGATTGAGCAACATGAGCGTTGATTCTTTCTTTTGCTTAAACTTAGCTTCTGTTATTGATTTTCATTAATTGTGGATATGATTTAAGTTGACCTAAAAAGTTGAATTTAAATTTACTATACAAGGTATAATAGAATCGGTTGATACGAGAAGAATGAAAATAATAAAACAAGAGAAAGGGGTGGCCGTTATTGATGAGTTTTCTTGTTTCAATGTTTTGAGAATCAGTCTGAATGATCACCATGAACTGAGTGTTAAGCTTTCCACTGCTATGATTTCTTTTCTTTATCATATTGCTAAGAAATCATTATTGGCTTAAGCTCATGGAAAACATGTGCGCAAGTTTATCTTTCATTTATTATTGTCTTGTCAATTTTCATTTACCTTATTATTTTGTAGTATTCATGTAGGTTAGTAAGTGGGATTGAGAAAATTAGAAAATAGGCAAATGATGTTAATCACAAATATGAGAAAGGAATAATTAAGCCCATGCAGAGATCTAAGTTTTGAATTGGTTTGCTTTAATCTATTCATATTGTTAGTAACAATGCATAACATCTAAGTCATTTGTTCTATTATTGTAACTTTCAGGTAAATTTCGATAGTTTGTATGAATTTAGCTTACAAACTAAAAGTGTGTAAAAATTTAAAATTTATGAATTTATAATTTGGTTTAAAATTTGTTAGTACAAAATTTGAAATTTTAGGAGATAGACTAAAATTTTATTACGATAAATTTTGCACCATTATAAGCTCATGATTTAATTGATAGCGGTAAATTTTTATTCTTTTTTATTTTTCTATTTTCACAAAATATTATTACTTTATCATTCTGATGTTGAAAAATCAAATGCGTAAGAATTTTTCTCATTTTATGATAAAATAAATAAACAAATTTCATTTTAAAAATTTGTGTTAAAATAAAATAAACAAATCAATTGTTATGATTCATGTAATGATTTATAATAGTAATGTATAAAATAGTCTATCATTATTAGCAAAAAAAAAAATAAAAATTCTATCATTCCCATGTTATAAATTACAAGAGTATCAATTTAGCTACATTATCCGTATTCTATGCATGTAAATTATCTTAAATTTTAAATAAAATTAATAACAATGATATATAGATTACTCTATCATTCACAAATTGTACAAACATAAAACTAAATTGTTCATCTACTTTTCAAAAAAAAAATAAAGTTGAATGAAAGTCTCTTGACAAAAATAAAGAGAGAGGATTTAATTAAAAACAAAAAAGTTGAAAGAGAGAAAGAGTTAAAAGGAATGGAATTAGTGACAAGGTAAAGTTGAATAGTTCATGGGACAAGTTTGAGAGAGAGAAATTGTGAGTTGATAGAATTTTTTTTAAAATTGAACATCAAAGTGTTTTAACACACAAATTAAATTTCTCACTTTAAAGTCTTCATCCAAACACATTCTTACTTTATATATCTTAAGATATTTTAAAATTCACATCTTTTTGTTATTTATAAACGTGTGACATTTAATATCTAAAAAAAATATTTAAGTTTAAAGAGACTTATAAAAAAGTATTTAGATAATAATAATTAGTGTATTTAATGATCTTCACGATGAAACTCTTAAAACTTGATGTGACCGTGAGTTCATAAATTTCTAACATATACATCTCTCTCTATCTCTTTGATCATTTATAGTTAACTTCAAAGATTTCTAGAATTGAGATTGTTTTTTTCAAAAGACAAACTTCCTAAAAAGTTTCTAAAAATTATATAATGTTTGGGAATTCTTTTAAGAGTTAAAAAAAATAAATTTAA